GATACAAGCCCAGTTTCCGCAGATAGGCGTCCATGGGCGACGCGTCCTCGCGGGGCCCCGCGCCGTCCTGGTCCCCGCCATCTGGGGCACCGACGGCCGCCTCCATGTTGCTGGTTCTGCTGCAGGCCAGGTGCGGCGCGGGCTAGCCCCATATGGCCGCACCGCAGACAGCTCGACGCCCCGGCCTGGCTCCGGCTCTCGCTCCGCGAGCAGCAGCCGCATATGATTTTTATATTTCTGTTAATTTTTTAAAGAATTATTATTTATTTGAAAGTCAGAGTTACACAGTTACACAGAGAGAGAAGAAGAAGAAGAAGAAGAGAGAGAGAGAGAGAGAGAGAGAGAGAGAGGTCTTCCATCCACTGGGTCACTCTCAAATTGGCCACAATGGCCTGATCTGCACTGATCCGAAGCCAGGAGCCAGGAGCTTCTTCTGGGTCTCCCACATGGGTGTAGGGGCCCACGGGCTTGGGCCATCTTCTACTGCTTTCCCAGGTCATAGCAGAGAGTGGAATCAGAAGTGGAGTAGCTGGGACTCGAATCAGCGTCCATATGGAATGCTGGCACTGCAGGCAGTGGCCTCACCTGTTATGTTAGCACCCGCCCCTATTAATCTTTTAAAATAAAAAAAAAATAGTCCAAAAAAGGGAAATTTTTATTTTGAAATCAATTTTTTTTTCAGTTCTTGGATAGTTTTTCAGCATAGGACTTTCACAAACTTTGAATACCCTTTCTATCCATGGCTTTCAAGATTTGTTTGTATCAAAAAAACCTATCTTTAATTTCAATTTCCATGAGCTAAAGTGCCTTTGTATCAGTAGTGTCAGTGTGTTTCAGTAGTGTCTTCCATTTTTTATTATGGTAGAAGCATCATTTTGCACCAGAATCAATTCATATTCTTATTTGAAATGAGTTGTCCATTTTCCTGCACAGATTTTTTGGCTTAGTTTATTATGGCATTGCTACAAGTATATTTAATAACAATTAAATATTTATGTTCTCCCATTATCATTTCCAATAACAAAGTTGCCAAATTTGTACAATTGCAGCCTGTTTAAGTGTTAAACACAATAGTATTGTTTACGCCTTTTATAAATATTAACTCTGATATTAAAATCAGGTATTATCCATGATGGGAAACTTCTATAACTCAGAAACTTTAAGTATTTCTGTAAAATCTCTCATGAGAATAAAATACAAATTAGAAATGCTGAACTACAAATTATGAATATTATCAATCTATTTTATTCATAGACTTTATGTTTTAGAATAGTTTCAGATCTACAGTAAAAAAATTGAGCATGGAGTACAGAGTTCCCATATTATGCTGATATTTACACAATTCTTACTCTTATTAACATCTTTTTTTAGGATTTATTTATTTATTTGGAAGGCAGAGTTACAGACAGGCAGAGGCAGAAGAAGAGAGGGAAAGAAGTCTTCCACCTTCTGGTTCATTCCCCAGATGGCCGCAACAGAGCTGGGCTGATCAGAAACCAGGAGCTTGTAGATTCCTCTGGGTCTTCCATGTGGGTTCAGGGTCCCATCTTAGGCCATCTTCCACTGCTCCAAGTGTATTAGCAAGGAACTAGCTCAGAAGTGGAGCAACTGGGACTTGAACCGGCACCCATATGGGATGCTGGCACTGCAGGCAATGGTTCTACCCACTACGCCACAGTGCTGGCCCTTTTTATTAACATCTTAAATTAATATGACACATTTGCTAAAATTAAAGAACCAATATTGATACCATACTATTAATTGAAGTTCACAGTTTATTCAGATTTTATTGTGTTTTTTGGTTTTGTTTTTTTCATAATGTCCATTTTCTGTTCCAGGACCATCCATGGTACCATGACACATTTATTTGTCATGTCATCATGACTTTGCTCTGACATTGCATCAGACTTTCATTGTTTTTGATTATCTTGATGGGTCTGAGAAGTCCTGATCAAGTATATTAAACAAGATGTCTCTCTACTAGAATTTTCCTGATTTCTCTACTGTTAGACTAAAATTACAGGTTTTTGGGGAGATGATAACAGAGATAAATGCAGTTTTCATCACATCATTCCAAAGTTATATTCTATCAGCAAAATTTATGACTTTTGCTGTTGACCTTGATTTCCTCACTAAAATGAAGTCTGTCAGGTTACAGTAATGCTATTCCTTTCCTTTCCTTTCCACACTATTTTTTAGAAAGAAGTTACTTTACTCTGTCTGTATTTGTGATCTAGGAAAATATGCTTCCTTTCCATCAGAGTGGGGTATCTACAATATTTATTTGAGATTCTTCTTCTCTTCTCTATACTAACTAATTAATCATTTATTTATATCTGAATCAGGGATATTTGTTTAATTCTTTGGGTTATAAAAAATACAATTGTTTTTGTTGCTTAAGTTGGTCCATATTTGGACTCCAGGTACTGTTTCAGTTGACTCCAGTGCTCCTTTAATATGTCCCAATCAGTGGGTATTTTTTTCAGTTTTGTTCATTATATTCTGATACTGCAAGAAAGATTCTTTAGGTTCATATGGTTTATTTCCTCCCCTATTCTTAGAATTATTCATTTTTCTAAGGAGTTCTGATGCCCTTAATGGAGAATGGTATTAGAAATCAAGATCTGGTAACCCCCCAATCCAGAGAAATTTCCCTGGGCAAAGAAAGAGTAAGTGGGCGGTACCCTGCGCCCTTATTCACCTCGAAGACATCTGAGGCATTTACTTCTGGAGAATCCTGCCAGCCTTCCAGGTCTCAAGCCCAATTTGAGTAACTTCCGGGTGACCAAACTGTTGAATTGTGCTGAGAAAGAGCCCAGCCATTGTTGCAGCCTTTCTCACCTGAGTACTGACTTCATAGAGCCCTCTTGAGGTTCTACCTACCCAGAATTCCATGTGGTTTCCTAGGCAGTTTCTCTAAAAAAACTCTACTAATCCAGCCCTGTGAACAAGCCAGGAGCACCCTCCAACATCCAACATGTATATGAGCAAGCATACACACATAAACACACCCCCACTGTCCAGCAAAAAGACTAGGCTGCACATTTGAATGGCTCATCCTGAAGAGGCCTCAGAAAAAAAAAGCTGGGTGGTCCTGCTCCCACTCCTGCTTCCCTAAAAATAGCTAGGTAATTCCACCCATACACCTTGTATTCCAGAAAGCAACCAGAGAACGAGTCTTCAGTGACTTGGCCCATAAAGACCCAGATAAGCAGATAAGAAACCCTGACCATCAATCTGACTTTAAGCAAGTAGAATTCTCAGTAACTTTGCACACTGAGGGCTCTTAGAAGCATCTGGGCAACCAAATCCACCCTCCTGCTGACCCAAGAATCAGTTGAACATCCAATTCCAAGGTTTAACGTGATTTGTGGTTATCAGAAAAAGATATTAAGCAATGTCCTTAGCTGAAAGGCTCTATGGAGTTGTTTGTGCAGTGCAATCTTTAGACATTGTCCCATTACATACACTGTCCCCTCTCACTTGGGCCCAAAGGGATGCCTTAGATCTCACATGACTCAGAGAAATCAACAGGTGTACCATACTCATAGCTGGGTGCATCACACCCAGAGCCGCCAAGCAGACACACCTTGTCTAATGGACCTGACTCCCAACCAGTAGTGCTGCACCACAGTCTCTGCAGCCTAGGTCACTGAGACACCTGTGCACATCATCAATATTTATTACAGTTCAAGAAACTAATAGGACCTATACTAAAGCTCCTACGGGGAACCAAAGCCAATGCAGCATATCCAACCAACACCATTGGTGTCACAATCAGAAAGCCTTTTATTACAAAAGCTACCTTATAAAGTTTGTAGAAGCAACTGACCTACCAGATGAACAAAAACACAAACAGGGACAAAAGAAACATGAAAAATCATGGTAACATTGTATCTATAAATGAATGCAATAACTCTTTGGCAACAGACAACCAAGAAATGAAAACTGATGAGTCTCCCAACAGAGAACTCAATATAATAATTAAAAAAAACTTAATATATTGATTCAA